GTCTGCCATTGCCCGTTTCGACTTGTTGTACGTTCGTGATGTGCTGCTGTTGCCTATGCCTGCCTAGTTCTGCCTGCTTCCCGACTCCGCTGCCGCAGCGCCGCAGCCCTTTCCCACTCACGGATGCTCCAAGTTCCGACCGACCCCATGACCCGGAGATGCTGCGCACTTACACCCATCGCAGGAGTTGTCATAGATGAGTGAAAGAAAAGCAGGTGTGTGGATTCCCCCCGAAAGAGCACGGATGGGGAAGATTGGCATATGCCCAGGGCAAGACAGGCAGCAAAAAGGATAAGAGAAGAAAGAAAAGAGAGGGTGTGAGGCTAATAGGAGAGCCAACCCGGCCGGGTCTGGATCTGCACCTCGTCATCATTTCACTACCTAATTGTTCCCTTTGGGCCTTTGGAGAGGGGACCGGGATCGTCACGTAGGATGTTGGTCGGTCGGTCGACCCTGTACTGACTGCCTCTGTTTAATTTCAGACTGTCTCGATACGTTTCCAGGCATGCGCACAAGGAAGCAGACAGATGGGGGTTTGAAGGCGTGCAACAAAAAGTTACACGTCACATCACGAGGCACTGGGCACCAAGACGCAATGGGAAAAGCTCGCTCGACATGATAACTCGTAGCCCGGTGGGCGGCGCGGGCGACAGCGGCGCCACCCGCACGCAAGGCGTTCATCCAAACATTTCACGCCTTCCTTGTTCCAAAATTCTTGTTGTTCCTTCCCCCTCGTGATGCGGATAGGCAAGGCAGGATAAGTGGACGAGGGGCCCAGTATGTAAGAGGAGCAATGATGCAAAGAACGGAGACGGGCTTTGCCTCTTCCTCTAAAGAACAGGGAAAGGGTGGGAAAATCTCCAGGATGGATCATGGCCCATGATGATACTCATGGGTATCGTGGATACCATGGGTACGTCCGAGACGCGTCTTCTTCGAATCCTCTTCCGGACGGGGCCCCTTCCTCTTCTCCATCTCGCCTCTCGAATCCCGGTCTCATCACATCGACGGATACAACGACTCAAGCCCCACGAGTCATCAGCCATAGCTCTGTAGGTAATCTACGAATCAGTTCGGGCGCATGGGGTGAAAGGAATTCTCATTGCTAGCAGCGATGACGATAATGACGGCGGCGCTTGGATGGGTGTATGGACGCTCGCTTACAAGGCCACACCAACAAGCGGTCGACAAACTCGTTTGTGATTCGCGGATTCGTTCACGCTCTGCGTGTGAAGACGCCAAGCCGCGTCTCTTTGGCTTGTCTGGATCCAACATACGCACACGCATAACGTGTGGCACACCCATTCTCCGATTCCTCCACGCCGTACTCCAGAGACAAACGAAATGAAGGAAAAGTGCCTTATGGGGTCGCAGGTAACGAAGGGTGTGCCGCTACCCCCGAGGCCCGAGAAACGCCGGGGTGCAGCTACCAGGTAGATGGAGCGTTGGATGTAGTTGCGAAAGGGGAAAGAAGAAAAAAAAGTCCCGCCGAACAGGCCGCTTGGACCGGCGGGCTCCAAGTGTCCAACCATGGCCGCGTTCAACGTCGACCGACGAGCACAGCCAGTTCTACGCCTTTGGCTTCTCATTCGTCCGCTGATGAAGGACTGTTTCCCACAGGCGCCTTTGCCGAGCATTGTATGCTGCAGCGTGGAATTCCGGATCTCAAGAACGGATAGAAGAAAAAAGGGGGTGAGGGTCCGATGGATTTCTCATCGTGCTTGTTGGTCTCGGGTCGTACACGAACCCGGTCAACGGGCCAAGGGAGCCGGAGCCGGTGAGCAAGGGCCCCAACAAGAAGAGCCTTGAGCCGGGAATGCGGAAAGGAAAGAATTGTTTGTTGTGGCCTGAATACTGATGACTGGGACGAAATGAGTTGAAATAGAGAGAAAACAGAGCATCAGACTCGGGTTACATCATGAGGCGGTTCTTGCGCGTGGTCAAACCAACATTGTCTCTAGGCTCCCCTCTGGTCTTGACCAAAGCTCACGGGCAGTATCAATCGATCAGTCGCAAGGATGGAACCTCAAGCTGATGCGGGACACGGGCACAGCGCTAAACTTCGAACCGTGGGACTCAAAGATCGATCAAGACAGGGACTGCCCTGCCCCTAGCATGTTATGGAGGCATTGGGTGGAGGCTTGAGATTTGCAGATGGGGGCGAGGGATTGCCGCGAGCTGAGTTGCTGCTGAGAGCTCGAGCAGGTCTCTTCATCCACACTATTCCTCATCCTCCGGCCATCTAGGCATGGATGGGTCCATGCAGGGATGGAAGGAAACGGAAGAGGGGATTAAGCGGCCAACCGTGCCACCCTCGTTATTCGTTCAACCGCTAGCAGCCGGCTTGCGGACTGGATTCCGCTTCCCGTCGCTGATTGTGGCTCGGACTGGCGAGCAAAGACTCATGTGCCGTTCACTGGCTCCATAGATTCTCGAGAAGGGCATAAAATATCGTGAATTGATAGAGACACGGTAGTGTAGTGAGCGTCGCAGGTATACTTGACGCAGGTGGACGGCGCGGCTGGTATTGTTCGACGAGCGGAAGATGAAGTCCAAAGTGCAGCACTGTGGCACAATCAATGAGGTTTGTGAACTTTTTAAATGTCAATGATTGGTGTTATGTAGGATTGAAGCGATGTGCATAGCCGCCGAAGACCATGCGGGCGGGCGCGATGGGCCTGTCAGCAATGCTAGTTCATTCTGCGCCCCCAAGGCACATGGGGGAATTGAGGAGGGAGGGGTGCCCCAGTGCTGGCCGATGATCCGCAACAAGCGGAAAAGTACTGGCTGGCCAAGTGAAGATGAGCAATGACCCCCGGTCACCTCGTCTGTATGTAGCCGTGGTTGGTGTCACTGCTCAACCTTGAGATGAAGGAAACGGCAAGGGAGTCTTTACTTGTGTTATGCTTCTTGCGCACAGCGACTTGCGCTTGCGGGCCGAAGTCATGGGCAATGGTATTGGGGAGGGGGGGGGGGCGAGAAGAGAGAAAACAGACGTGACAAACTTTTCGGCTATTGTCCTCGTGGCGGACTATCCGTACCTCGAAATGGTTGGACAAACTGAATCTTTGCTCTTGTCTAAGCCCTCTGCCAAACATGATCAGCTTTGATATATCAGGGTTGTCGTTTAAAACAAAAACGGACCGTCTGCTTTGCCTTGTGCCTCGACCACGAGCTGGCCAGTGCGAAAGGGACGGGCTCCCGTCGCGTACAAGTGCCCTTGTCGAAAATCCAGGGACAGCTCTATGTACTCTGTATGGTGGTTATTGCTAACAGTCTTGTGCCGACTCCACTTTCCGGTGGAAATGTCTGTCGATTTGACGAAGGAAGGCAGATTGGGAAACCCATTCGCATCGCCAGTCAGCCATATTGCTTTGCCAACTTGACCCCCTTGGAAGGCCAGCTTACCGAGCTGGTTTGGGGTCCCTGGCCAAAAGCGAGATGGCAGTGAATGACGGCGTTGGGCGTACGAGGGAAATCGCCGCTTGGCAAGAACCAGGAACCAACGCCGTCTGCGTCGCGATGCTGCGTTTCTATGACGCGGGAATGAGACCACATCAGCCCCCTTCTTTGGGGGTCGGCCAGGTTGTACAAGGTTGCATACAGTAGCAAGACGGAGTCTCACTGCCATGCCGCGTGTCAAGCCGGGCATTGTAGCAGATGGAGGTTGAGGGGGTTGTGAGAGGATAAAAACGTGTCCGTTGAGGAGAGAGCGCGTGCCTATGTCCGTCCGATGTCGTACGGCGCATGTCAAGCAAGGAATGTGGTGCGGTACGATGAAGTAGGTCGCTTTGTGATGCCGGCAGAACACAAGCATAAAGTAGAGTTGGTGCATCCGTGACCTTGTATACTTGAGATATTTGCCCTCGCCCCATAATTCGGTTTGTCTATCCTCTGGCTGGACTATCACACCAAATCGTGACTGGCGAGTTTAAGGCAAGGTACGTATCCGTTCGTACGGGATTATTCATAGTTGCTGTTCCACATGTTAGTTCTTGGGACCTGAAGCGGGAGCAGCAGCAGATGTAAGGTAGCGTCAGTTTCTATCTTGGGTTGGGCCTACTGATTCTAATTCCTGGTTCTCGTTCTAGTCTCCGAGAAACGACATGCTGGGTCAGATACGAGGGCGAGGGTCTCTCGGGGTGGAAACTAGGAAAGCATGTCTGGCAAACTAGTTGCAATGGTCCTTCCACAGACCTGTTCTCTGGGCCCTCGACGCCAGGTAGCTGGAGCGAAGCTGGCTGGGGCGAGAGGAAGGGGGGCGCGTTCAATGAGACGTGCTGCCTTTCTGTCCCCGGTCGTCGGTCTTGATGACTTCATCCGCAGCTTGAATTGCTCCAGTGATGCTGTGTGAATGCCCTGCCAAGATGAAGGAACAAGGCCAGGGCTACCTAGATGCAGGTAAGGCAGGGCAGGGCAAAGTTTTGGAGAGGAAGGTCGCAGTGTACGCATGTTCCCTGCCATGTTGAGCATGGGAGAGGAGGAAGGGGAAGGGGGATGAGATTTGCATGAGCAAGCATGGAGGAGTAGAAGTGAACTGTGTGTAAGAGAAAGAGAGAGAAGAGGAGACATTCAGACAGACAATCTATGCAAGTGCAATCATCTTTGGTGGCCCTGGGTTCCATTGGATTCGGATGAGGTGAAGTGCAGCACAGGCAGGAGGCAAGGAAGGTACCGTTGTATCTTACCTTAGGTACCTTAGGTAGGCACCTTACTACGTAGGTACTCCGTACTGGGGTAAGGTATGGAGGCAGGAGCTAGGGAGGCAGGAAGGAGCTAGGAAGTCGGAAAGAGGTGTCAATCTCCCGACCCACTTGCGGACACGGATGACAGGGGGAAGGTACGCACGTACCTTAGCTTAGTACCTGGCAGGAGTGCTAGTCTGCTGGAGGCTCCTACCCTGGTCCTGTCTTCATGCAGCTCCCTCTCTCCTCGTCTCCATCCTCATCTCATCTTTTTGTTTCTGTGCCGCCGTCTCCTCAACTTTCTCTTCTTCATCCATGATCCTCCTCCCTTCCTCTTCTCGCCTTGTCCTGCCTTTTGCCCACTTCACCTCGCTTCTCCTTGCCTTGTCTCGAGAGGCTCTCCATCTCGTCAATATACGACGCATTCGCTCGCTCTGCTTTGAGACACGCCGCACGCCGCACGCATTGAATGGGAGGAAGGGCGGGTTGCATCCGGCGAGAGCGTCCTATCTCGTCCTATCCTGCGGTGTCTTGCCTTGGCTCAGTCCAGGATCACGGGGTGTATCCATACGGAATACTGTGTGCGGGTACATCATACTCCCTTCCAGGCACAGGAGAGCGCCGAAATATCCCTTCTTCGCTGAATTTCAATTTCCCTGTCGAGCATTTATCGCGGTCGTAGTCTCGGCTGCTCACAGCATCTTGGTACCCGGGACGCCTGACCGGGCCGGTGTGTGTTTCCGCTGGCTTCGTCATACACATCTATGGATATCCTCCATTACTGACATGACCATGAACAAGGGTTAGGTACCTTACCTTGAGAAGAGGCCATCCCATCTGCGAACTTGCGAAGCACGGTACCTTCCAGACCTCTCTCCTCAATGGACAGTTAGGTTGACGTTAGTCTCCGCCGTTACGCTAACGCAGCGTGGCGTAGTATTGGTCCAAGCTTGATGGCATGGTGTCTCGTTTTCTCCATGTCTGTCTGCACTCTGCCCTACCGCTCGCTGGCTTGCGAGTTGGGCTTATATTGTCAATCCAGCGTCACTCTCTTTCCCTCCTCTTTGCTTCTATGGCTTTTTTCTCTTTCTCTCCCTCTCTCTTCTTCCTTAGCCTAGGCCCCCTTGTTTTTTATTCTACTTCCCTCTCATTTTTTCTTCTCTCTCGTGATAGATATCGCTAATCTGCTTTCTTTAGTTTCTCACCCCTGTCCCCTTCCCTCCCCCATTCCTTTTGCTGACACGATAGATCCGGACTTTCATCAAGCACTATACGCATCTGTTACGGCGGATTTTGTTTTTTTTTCTCGAAAAACCCGAAATGAAGAAAAGGTGGTATACAGTATTTGACTCTGTTCCGAGGCAAATAAACACCTTGTCGCTTGTCGCGCGTATGCTTCGCGTCAATGATTTCGCGTCCAAGCTTGAACTACTCGCTTGCCATCACATGACGCAATGCTCATGCTGGGTCGTGGGAATCCTACCCGCTACGCGCCGTAACTACAGCCATCTATTTCCAGCCTCATGCTGGCTTGGGGCGTCTTTTGTGGCTTGCCTAGGCGGTTCGCCCTCCCTTCTCGAACAACCTTATGAATGCCGTTGGAGGATAATCAAGCGCTTGCCGGGCGCAGTCTCTGAGGGTGAAAAATTGTGTGTCTTGCTAGCCACAAATTCGTGTATGTGTGTGTGTGTGTGTGTGTGTGTGTGTGTATGCGCGTGTGCAAGTGAATCAATCGCCTCTTCCGGGAACCGACAGGGGCCGACATGTCTTGTGAGGCCAAAACATCCACCCAACCGAATGCTGCTGCCCGTCGGACGAGGCAACGTGCTGTCGCAGGCGGACCGCTCCCGTGTGTTCACTGCCGTGCCACATTGTCGATTTTTTTTCTTCTTTTGACAGGTTTGGTAGTCAAGTGTCCAGTAGGCCAAACTTTCGGTCGCATGCTGATGTTCTTTCTTGCCGCCCCAGCCCCATTTTGAAACCATCTCTCGGGGTCCAAGAGGCATTGTTAGAACAGAAGAATAAAACGGGATGCTTGAGTGCGGCCCGACATCAAATGCAAGTATCCCGCGAATGTGGCTTGACTATGACAGGGGACACAAGAAAAATTCTGAGCCTGCCCTGCCAATTTGCTTTCTCAAGCTGTCTGGCAGTGAAAACTCTTTTTCTCGTATCTTGCATAACATGGACAGTCAAATCACCGACATTGGTTTTGCATATCTAAGGCAGGTAGCGACTTGCAAAGCACGCGGATTAGAGTTTAAATGATTGAATTGATATCTCCACAATGAGGAGCTATTGACAGGGAGAGTGTTCGTGAGAGTCGAGATGCCCGACCTTGCGAACTGGGTTGCTGCTTCACGCAGTCTAGAAAAATCCGCATGCGATACTCCATCATCGTAGGTTGCTAAGAAGGAAAAAAAAAAAAAAGGTTGATGAATAAACCAGCGTACTGATGAACGGAATAATAGAAACAGATCATGGTGTCTCTCAAAGCTCTATTCTGCTGGAGTCGTTGGCAATGATAATGCCACAGAAGAGAAGCGGAACGGCAGGCGTGAGCCTCATAATATGGTCGAGTCCGGTAGAAAGAAGCTCTTCATAGTCTTCTTTCCCTCGGCTTTATGTCTACTTTTAGGCCGTCGTCGAATCTAATGCCCAAGAGACCGTTAGTTGGCGTCTCACCGAGTGATGAGTCTGTAACGGACCTACGATTTCCCTTGCTTCTGGCAGTTGAAGCAAGTGCCATCTTGGCTTTGCGGCTTGTCTACGACACCTCCGCAATGGCCGTGAGAGCTGCACGCATATACAGGCCGTGTCTCGGTGCAGCCACAACCCCATGTGATGATAACTCTGGAGCACATTTTGGCTAGAGAAGGAATCTTCTCCGTGGAAAAAAGAGGAAGAGGGAGAAGAAAGAGAAGAAGAGTCGAAGCTGTTGTGAGAAGGTCGCTTAGGCCGCGAGCGGTGGGCTTCTGAGTGAGGCTTTGTTTTTTCTGCGTGTAAAGCTCGATAGTGACGGGCGAAGACTCGTCTTGCAATGAAAAAGCTAGACGAAGGACTGGTTTCTTAGAGGTGACTGGTAAGAGGGATGGTCTCGTATGTTGTATAGTTGTTCTTCTGGCTGGATGAAGAGTGTATTGTTTGGAAGCTCGAGTCAGGATATGTCGTCTGTCTTATATATCGTCGTGACACAAGCTCAAGACTGGCTATTGGCTTGAAATCGACTGTCGGGAGTGGGCTGACTTGTTTGCCATCGTCAAATCTGCCAGTCAAGCGAAGGAGGACCAACAGGTAGCTATCACACCGGTGATGCCAAATGTAAGTAGACGCAGCTTGGCTGTTGGTTGCTCGCCAACGCGTCAAAGTTTCTCTGTTCTGGTGTTGGAAGATGCCAGTCGGGAGATAGTGGTGCGTCAAGCGTCTGTCTGGCAAGTCTTCAAGTTGACGCAAGGGAGGGCTGTAACTTGGTGGAGGGAAGTAATGTGGAAGATGCAACGGGTCGTGAAAATGGCTTGTACCTTGCAAGTCGATGTACTTGGGAGAGATGCTGGCTGCGGGTGCGGACCGGGCAGATGGGTTGTTTGATCCGCCCCTTTGCAGGAGGTGGTCGACAAGCTGCCTGGTTGTGGAGATGCTTTGGCGGCCGTGGAGAAACCAGCCTAATCCGACTCAGCTCAGGCCGTTGGCTCTCCCGCACAGGGCTAACAAGCACCCGTGTACTTCCAACGCACAACGGTGCAATGGTTGGTCGACTGGGTGAAAGATTCTGGCCTGTCTTTTTGCCCTTTTGATAAGTCGTACGCTAGTTCGAAATGAGACGTGATAGCCGGGTACTGTCCCGCCTTGTTGTGTTGGTAAGACCAGGGTATCACGCAGGCGGCCTTTCTGGAAGACAATGGGTGTTGTTGGACGTGATATCCACTTAGAACGAAAGAGCCCCCAATATGCACCTCAGAGGCGCAGCCCAGCCAAAGTTGGGTCTGTTGACGCAATGTCTCGTTTTTCTGGTGTTCCGTCTCGAGTGCTGTATGGGCAACGCGTGACCCAAGATGTTGGTTTCGACGACTACGTTACTGAGCCGGCTCAACGTCTGGCAGGTGGTTCTTCAAGAGTCTTTTGTGGTGGGCTGCCAAGGCATGACAATGTCATCCAAACGTAGTTTCTGGAGAGGTTGGAAGAGGAAGAAAGAGGAAGCGAGAAAGTGTGTGTAGGAGAGAGAGAGACAGAGAAAGAGAAAGATGGAAGACGCATGTCCTCAGCCGCCCCGCCCGGTTCAATGACTGACTGGTGACGGGTATTCGGGGCAGGGTAGGGCAGGTAGGTGCACCTCTCGTGTGTTCCCATTGTCGCATGGCACCCACTGGCCGCACTTTCTATTGGGGAACGTGGGAACACAGAACGTCGGCCACTTCGACCAGGGATAGCTTGGCGTGGCAGCATCAGCAGTAGCAGCAGCAACCAGCACTGAGCTCTGTGCAGGGCCTACTGGTGCCGCGCCGTATGGTCAGTCCCCCCAGCGTGAGGTAGGGCAAGCATAAGTGCCTACGAAGAATGGGTGACCCATGTCCCTGTCTTGAGTTGTGATTGTCCTCGACCTGATGGTGTCGGGAGACCCCTCGTGGACAGTTAGTTCCTAGTGCGTCCCAAGCCGACTTCACTGTCAAGCGTAGAGATGAGCCGCTGTGTTGAGTGGATCGTTCAGACGATGTCGCACATGAGCGATCCGCGTCAAGCCCTGTTTATTAGTCTAGTTTGGGCAAGACCGTTCCGTTGATGGCGCCCTTTGTGTCCGCCAAAGCTAAGGTATTTCCCATCTATCCATAATGCGCTGCCGATTCTCTAGGCACCTTGTCCTGATCATAAGGGCGAACAGGTACCGTTAGATCGCTCGCGGATTTAACTCTCCCTGCCGGAGTTACTCCAACCCACAGGGGCAATGCTACCGCAAGGAAGACGTTAGATTGAACATCAGCTTGTCCAGACACGAGCATCCAATTCAATGATGGAGCCGCACCACAGGCAGGCGTAGAGGCACTGAGATGCTCCTCCGCTCCGAGTTGGAACGGCGGAGAGTGCAAGTTGGGGGTCAAAGCAAGCATGCTACTGGGACAGACAGCCATACGACAGCGGCATGAGGAAGTCACAGTAGAACAGCGGCCGCTTTCAAATGAAGTACTTGATTATGACCCCGTCTGGCTACATTTCAAATTGGATCAAAGAAGCAGAGACAAAAGGTGTCAGTAGAATGGTCGATCGAGCTGCCGGTCGACGTATTCATCGATATCCGCATCAATGTCCCTGACCAGATTGCCAACCCTGCTCCAGCCGAGTCCATGTTCAGGCCTAGGTCCAGGTCCAATTCCGCGTCCAAGTTTAGGTCCCGGGATAGGCATAGGGTTCCTGAGGCGAAACTGAGTCCACGTGGAGTAATAAAGGTAGTTCGGCGGCGGGACGCCTTTCCACCTAGACGTATTCCGTCGTCTCGCACCAAACCCTAGACGGTCCATCATGTTCGTGACGAATTGAAGACAGCAGAATTGTGAGAACAGGACAGTTCCCTAGATGAGAACGGGCGCTGGAACAGGTCATAGTGACAGTAGTAGAGCGAATGCCACGATTGACCAGGGGTTCACATAAAAGAGTGGAGTCGACATCTGAGGCGTGGCCCTTGCAAGGAGAAGATGCCAAGAGGAAAGGTCGTCACGTCCCTCATCGGTCCATGTTCTTGTTGCTCCTTGCGGAGGACAGAATACGCCACATAGATCTATGGCCAAGACCAGGACAGCCTAATGAGGTTCAAATATGGGCCGGCTGAGGCTAAGAGCGGGCGAAACTCGGCTCGGTTGGGGTCGCCAGATTTGTCCGTTGGAGTGCTCACGGTGTGATGTGAGAGTGCAGGGGCGAAGGATGTGAAGTGCCCGTCTGAAGGTGTCGGGAGGTTTCCTTGTAGCCAAGGACGGCGAGGGCGAGGCGAGTGCAAACCCGAAGCGCGATGCTTCCAAAAAAGGAGAAACCTTGACCTTGCGCAGATGAGATGCAGAGAGGGAGGGCATGCCCGCCGTCAGGGCCCGAGGAAGCTAAGCCGGCCATAAACGTGGCCAGCGACAGTGTCCGAAAGAGCCCGATGGCTTGATCGGGGGGCACATGGCGTTTCCTGGGCTGTGGCTGGCAAGGAATGAGAAACCACTGACCGGGTTGAGTTGATGAACTAGGTAGCGGTGGGTTGGGTTGGGATGTGTGGTGTTGCCGTTAGTGTGGGAGAGAGAGAAAATGGAGGAGTATCCGTAGACGGGAGCAGAACAGAGTAAAGCAGGCGAAATGAAGTTTCCAATTCGGGACAGACTACGCACTGTAAGATATATTGTAAAGTACGGTGAGAGGACAGTGCGAAAACTGCATGAGGCGTTGGTTCGGTGTTGGTGGGAACTGACCGAGTGGACAAGGAAGCAAGTGACAGATCTGGGCAACTGCATTTGTGAAATGACCTCGATGTGATTTTGTTGAATTTTTTTTTCCCTCTTTTCTTCCTTGAGCACTCTTTTGCTGCTCTGCTCTGCTTCTTCCTTCCCTGCATCTCCCGAATGTTGCTGCTCGTCCCTGTCATCTCGCCTGCCACTTCCTTTCTCATCACCGACCACAGTGATTTCGTTTGCTGTCTTTTTCAAACTGCCATCAAACATCCCATCCTGCCATTTGGAATGGTTCGTACAAGTTCCCAACGGCAAAGTATTGCAGTTCGAATATTGGCACGGAAGCAAACCAGTCTCCGCCTTTTCCATTGTTGCCGTCAGACGATGCCAACACAATGTGCTCCACGTCTATGCTTTGCGTCCCTATGTCGCCCTCGTTTCCCCCTTACCTCTCTATCCCTTTACTCACTCATGTCCAAATCCCCCTTCATCTCCAGCTTCTACTCGATGGCTTGTCGTTGAATTTGGCGAAAAGAAAAAAGGTACGTATACTGTCCTTTTCTCTTTGTGTTTGAGGCGGTTGAGAAATGTGTAGGTTTCTTGCGTTAGAGAATGCAAGCCACCATCGAATGAGGAGGACTAGGTAGCAACTTAGCCTTTTTGAGATGAATGACTATACCATATAGTTGAGGTCATCGCGCCAACGTCTCCAGCTAGTCGGATTAGCTACGCACTATTTTAGTGCACCTCGACATACGTCCGTATGCTAGATTAACCAACTCCCTCTCCGTAGGCTAAGCTGCCTCGACTTGTCCTTCAGTGTTCTTCGAGTCTAAATCTCTTCAAAGACCCTGCCGAATTGGAGCTAGCCACTATAATACGGCCGTTGGTACAGTGTCGACTGCCCGCTCAGCCTGTTGATGGCAAGCCTACTGTAGAGCTGGACGGCTATTCGAGCAGTCTTCACTCCGTCTCCGATGCCAACGGCCCCGTATGCCAAACGGGGCTTGTCAGAATCATACACACCATCATACCTCGTCACTCTCCCGTCTTCTGCGCCTCTCGGAAAATGTCAAGGGACTCTTCATCGGCGTGGCGTGCTGATGCAACAGCACCTCATCGTCAACGGCGTCGCAACCTAAGGCACAATGCGAAATAGTCGCAACGGTGGCGCCTCTCAACTCCAAGTCCGAGCTGGCAAAGTACCTCGAGCCTGCAAGCCACACCCTCTTTCTCGTAAATCGAACCATTAATGCCTGCTCCTGCGTCCCGGGCAAACCGAGGTGAGGGGGCGCGCTCGTCCACTTAGTCTCCTCCATGGTCGTCTGGAGGCGAACATCATGGCAAACCACCGTTGATGAAGAGTAACCCCGACCCCGTGGATACCATGTATCTGGAGCACTGGCTCTGTCATCTATGTCCGAGTCCTGAGAAGAAGCTGCTTCACCGCAAGACCCTCTGGCCCACAGTCAAGGTGATGTATTGGTTCAATTGCTGGGGTTCCCAGCTTGCTAGGACCTTACCACTGGAACATACGGGACTCCAACACACCACAGTGTCTTCATGCGGCCTTGCGCGCGGCCTATCATTACCGACAGTTTGACTAGGCAAGCATCTTTGAACACCCCAACACTCCTTGTGCCTGCAGCATACCTCACATGGCCATCTGGCCTGCCAATCATTCCGAACAATGGGGTACCGCACCCCTTGGTCCCGGTCGCCTCACTTCCATCGATGTTCGATGGACTGCCGTCCTCCTCTTGAGCCAAGAAAACTTCCCCCTTGGGCATGTCACTTGTGGGAAGCCGAGTGGTTAGTCCAGCTAGGTACACCGATTTCATGGCGGTGAAACAGACCTCGTTCCCCCTTTTCATACCCGCCTAGAAATACGACATCTTGAGCCAGGAGATCTCTTCAATTCCAAAAGCCCATCGCAGCCCAACGGGCTCATATTCGGGCCAGACCCTGTCCAGTCAGCCCCTGTAGGTAGACTTGTTTGTTATGTAATCTAGATGACGGGCTTGAGATCTGTTTAGCTACGGGTCATTCTAAAGGTGAGTTGACATCTCAATGAAGGAGTTTCTGCATCAACTCAAATACTCCCTGCTTGCGCTCTCTTGGACAAGGGGGCATACATTTGTCATGACCAGGCAACGAGACGGACATCGGGACGACTTGACAACCGAGTGCCTTCGACAGGCATATCTTTCACGTTCTTGACCACATCAGGAAAGGGCAAGACGTTATCCCATCACTTCACAGTCGAGCTCCGCAACTTCTTCTCTAGGACTTGGAGAGCAGATACAGGGGTGTTTTTGCGAATTATTGCACAGCTGCATATCCTTTTTGCTGGGCTTCACTCACGACTGGTATTGAGTTGAGTATTGACAAGATGTACCAACATCCCTGTCCGAGTGAGCATGCAAGTGGCGGCTGGGCAGAGCTCGTTTATGATTACGGGTGCCGCCATTCACAACCAACTGGAACACTGTCGCGGCATGAAAGCAAGACGGCACCATCAGGCGCCATTGTCGACCGTTCCAACAGGTTCATCGCGGGAAAATAAGCAGAATGCCCCGCGAAGTCGAGCATGGCGCAGATGTTGTTGTTGGACTGTCCGTCGACGAAGCGGGCGAGGTGTGATTGAGTCGCATGCCAGCCAATCACCAATACGAACCCCCCTGTTATAAGCGCCTCGTGGGACTCGCGGCTTGGCCCGACTTGACTGACGACCACTCATTCTTCCGGTAGCCGCCCATGACGGCGGCTCAAATTCAATAGCGTTCGTCCAGACCTACACGCTTTTTGCCGCAAGAATCGACCGTTTTTCAACTTCTTGCCAATATTGCCAGCGAATCTCACGCGGAAAGCGTGACTGCTGCAGATGGTCAAGTTGCAACGCAATACTTCGAAAGCGGTCACTCGACAGGGGTGCTTGGGTGTTAGTCCCCTCGACAGGACAATATGGAGGGGAGATCAGGAAAGGTCAAGGAATCCGTAGGTCTTGACCGGGCATGCGGGCATGGTCCAGATGACATCTGCACCTTGTCGGTGCCCGTCACCAACCGGATGTCATCAGCTCCTAGCGTTGATGAAGCATATGCGGAAGGACCTTTCCGTAGGAGACGGACTGCGGATGTTCTAGCGGTCAAACTCATTCTATGGGCCGTTGATCCCGATGTAAGTTACCTCGATTGTCCTGCCCCCTATCCGTACCAAGACCACATCAACATGGTACTAACCCTGATCAAGGGTGGATATCATTCATCACAGCCCGCGGATGGATGTGCCTCTCCCCCTGATGAAGGTTTCCACACACCTTCCAGGAACGGAAAGGAAGCTGGACTGCCATTATGCATCCCTGGAACGATTCTCGCGAAGTCCCTTTCTTCGTACAGTACTTTGGCCATCCACACGCAACTTTCCCATCATGTGTCCACTAATGCAAGTTGGAATCACCCAAACTGCGGCGCATTTGTGACGAAGATTTGAGGGGAAGAGTTGCAGCAGCAGCAGAAGCAGCAGGCAGGCAGTGAGGTGCCTTCTCGTGTTGGTGGCAACACTTCGTCTTCTCATGCAACGTCTCGATGCTTCCCCCCCATCACCGCTTCTTTCACACGCCATACACGCCATACACACCACCACAGCCCATGTCGTGTTACCTCACGCACCGCAATCACCTCTCTCTCCATGCCAGGGTTCACGATGGACTCTGCGGGCGGCCCGCCGGTCGCATACGAGGCAGGCTTCGACACCCTTCTTCGCCAACTGCCTTCGATAGCTTGGCTTGAAGCTCGATCGAGAAGCGGAGTCGTATCGGTTGACTTCAAGGAACCCTGGCTCTCTTTCTCTGGCACGACGACCTCTGTTGGAATACCCCCTCTGAGATTACAGAAAGATATCGAGCAACGGATTGGGCCTCTTGGGGAAATGATTTGCCTTTTGGAGCTGCGGTCGAGGAGGGAAAGAACACGTTTGCGGAAGAGGGGATGAGAGTACCTTCGGCCCGGATGAGAGATGAGAGACGAGGAGAAAGGGGGGAACGGTGGAACGAGGCAAAGGTTTGCCTAAGGAATGCTCGCTAGAGTCTGGTCCCAAAGTCAGCATATTCTTTGTCTCCAAAACCCGGGCTGTGTTTGAAGGCAGCAGAAAACAAGGCATTGTCCAGAGAAGTCTTGTTTGAAATACGTCAGGGTTCGTCCTCCTTGTTGTCGAAAGAAAGTCTGGAAAACATGACGAGCGAATGGGTCAAACGGGGCGGTGTCTGTTCCTTGATGGCAAGGAGTAAAAGGTACGAAAACCTCTCAGCTCGTTTCTCTTCACCATCCAGAAGACAGGATGCCATGGTATCTCCCTTCTCCTCCGGCGTTTGCCTCATTCTCCCTTTCGCTTTGTTCTTTGCTCTTCCTTTGCCTTCTACATTGAAAGGCCTCTGTCTGCCCAGGCGGGATTAGAACACCATCAGGGCTAACACAAGAAGAAACGTTTGAAGTCAAACGTTGATCGCGGGGAAAACACCAAATCATGAGCAAGACACTCACTCGTTGGACTGCACCCCGCGGAAGGATCAAAATGCTATTGCTAGAGAATATGCAAGCAATGGCGATCTCAGGATTTTGCCTTCTTCCCTCCCGAAACGCTCGTTAAATCCTACGAACTACACACACCACATGGCACATGGCTGAAGGGGCAAAGACCAAGCCAGAAGGATCTGAACCCGCCCGCGCCCGCGCTCTCGCGCCGCGCCGCGCCGTGCCACAGCGTGTGTGTATGCTTTCCCGCCGGGGCACAGCAGGAACCAACGGGCGGGTTCTAGCCAGCGGCACGGCGGTGATGACGGGCCGGCTAGTCTCGGGGTGTTGTGTTCACTTTGCCGCAGACTGTGCCCGGCCGAGTGCGAGCCAGGCAGAGTATGATACCTACGCTTGGATACCTTGTACCGAGGCCCAAGAGGAAAACGAGGTATCCATTTCTTGTTGCCAACCATGTGCGGGGGAGAGTGACAGAGTGAGAGAGAGGGTGTTGCCGAAGGTTCTCGGATGCGGAAGGATGAGGAAAGTCACGGCGTTGAACGTCCCCGGCGTCCCCCGCGATTTCCCCCCACTTCGGCGTCGCATCCGAAAGGATCCATGCAGTGACGTTGGCTCCTTTTCCCCGGATCATGAGATGGGCAATTTGTGGTCGGGTTGTCTTGCGATGGATCTGGGTTTCGTTCGCTGTTGCCCATAGAGGGAGGGAAGGAGGGAAGGCCCCAGCGCCGGTTCTCGTGGTCCCTTCCGAGAAATCCTCTTGCGGCCTCCGACGCGGCCAATGAGGAGCCACCCGCTCCCCGGGACCCGGGGCAAGAACCTTGGCCCCCTTCGGCTTCCTCCTTTACTTTCCCAATCCATTCTCGAACGACGTTGGAGAATTGGGAAAGAGCCTCAATTGGGGCCGACCGAGGCTTTCTCCACTTTCCCCGGATATCCCAATTGTTCTCGATATCAGATCTGGTGATGGCGAGGGCATTCACAACACAACCACAAACTTGGTCATCTTGAGCAGGTTGCGGCAAGCCTTCGCGCCTCCCATGTTCCCCACGCCCACTCACGACTTTGGAGTACCCACACTCTGCACCAACCCCCTGCGCCTTTCTTTACTTATTTTTATTTTATTAGCAGCGAGTTTGCTTTTTTCGCGGCGGCCGCGGCGGCGGGTGTCTCGCGGTTTTTTTTTTCTCTCTCGCTCTCAAGCGCACCAACCCCACGTCAGCTGCGGATAAGGCAAGAGAGACCCGAGCATTTCTCACATTACTTACAAACTTCTACAGCGCTGCTGTCGCGACATGGAGCTCAGCCAATTACAAGTCCACGTGCAACAACGTTCCCGCTCTGGAAGCTTCAGGATGTCTCTAGCTTCTGGGTCTGGATGCAAGTTTCTAGAAAAAGCCACCAAAATAATTATTAAAACCACCTCCCCAACAAGGGCCGATTTGATACTTGGTTGATAAGGGTTTCAGAAGCGACCGCAGCAGAAAGCCTGTGGAGGCCCGTATTTCCTATTATTTTTGTCTCATTTGGTTCCTCCTTGTCTCTGGACCTGGACTATCTCGAGGACTCTAATCCGAAAATCTCATGCTTCTTGGCGGGTTTAGGAAACTTCTCTGGATCTAAATGCGTGAAGCAAAGCCACAATACGCCCCCCCATGGCCGCCCCGAGGAGTGACTGAGAGTTGAGACGCTCGGATGCCCAACCCCCATCCATCTGTTGCAGAACACCTCAATTCAAGCACGATAAGGTCGAAAGCGGAGCCATTCGCAGAGAAACACACCTTGCGGAGTAGAAAATCAAAATTTAGATCTCTTGGCTGGACGAGCTTTTTGTTTGAGAAGATCAAAATACAACACCATCCCGGTCTACCCACGTCGCGCGCAAGAGTCTTCGGTCTAATTAATTGATTCGTACCCTTTATGGCACCTTACTAGTTTGTTCTACTACCCACCGCAAAGAGTCTCAGGCAACTCTCTACGACGACGGGTACGGAGTATGGACATAACAATAGCACATCATTTTTGCCCGTGCATGTGTCATGGCTTTCGAGAAACGCCAGATCCCGGCATTTCCTATTTTGTGCAATGCCTGCTCGTTCTGGACCTGTGACTATCGTATTGCCCGCCGCAATCACGCCCTCCTCTGACTTCTTACCATGGCGTTACCGTAACATGATGTCTCTGGTCTGTGTGTCTCTGTACCGCCTGCTGCGTCGTCCAAACACAGTCGCCCTCTGCCCAGACGGCCGATCCGGGAGATGCACCTTTGCTGCGTACGACGCGCGCCATACACAATTTCTCATTTCTTGACAAGAGTAGTGCACGATAGGCAGCGTGCGATACGATACGATGCGGTGACCTTGCCCCTCCCCCTCCCTCCCTCCATGTCCATCGTCCGTTCCCCCCCTTCCCTGTCCCCCTTCTCCATCTGCGACCGAGGACCCCCAGTATCAACCTTTTTCTGTTTTTGTGAGCAAACCCGGCTTGAGACGGCACCCACCGTGTGACTCGGCAAGTCACCCGTCACCTTACCTCTGAAGTCTTGCCCGTGGGCCGGGTGGAAGGGGTGGTGGTCTGCGACCAGGTCAGCCAGGCTCACACCTCCCGTGTCCTCCGGTGCAATCCAAACTTATAAAGTTGGACGGCCCTCCCCTCCCATCCCTTACCTTTCTTTCTATCTGTATCCCAACGCTCTCATCCTTCCTCGACTCTACTCGCCAAAACTCTCAGTGTCTTTTAAAGCAGTTGATCTGTTCTCCCACACGCCGATTGCCAACTCTCGCAACCAACCCGAACCCGCACCAAAAGAAAACAACAACCAAAAAAACAACATATACAAAAATGTCTTCTCCCGTCGACAACTCCGTCTTCCTCTCTCTCGCCCCCACCACCTCGTCTTCCTACCCCTTCAGACAGCAGCAGCAGGCCGCCGCTGCCGTCACCGCCACTACCACCGAGCCGGCGCCCCTCAAACGCCGCACCTCGAGCATGAGCAGCGACGGCAGCAACGGCCTCCGCTTCCTCAAGCTCGGTCCCGTTCACTATGGCGAGCACCCCGACGAGCACAAGTCTGACTGGCACCCTGCTCTTCTCGGCTAGGACGCTCATTTAACGAGGATGATTTTTCTTCCTTGAATTGTTTTTTTTTCCACATCATTAAAGCAAGCCATATTCATGATTTTTCCAAATCTTATCAAGCCATCAAAGTCTGGATACCAAAGGTGCAGGAAACCAACAAGGCAGTTTGTGCCCAAAAACAAGCGATTAGACGAGCTAAGGGGAGCTCTGGGAGGATGAGAAATAGGCGCTGGATCATTTTTCTTTTTCTCCTTTTTTTTTTTTTACATCGTTGAGTACAACACCTGAAGAAAGTAGGGCAGATTGTCTCTTGGGCCGGGAGGAACAACTTCACAACCCCCCATACGATTATAGAGTCTTGGGGAAACGGGACGGAACACGGGACCAATTCACACAGAAGAAGAAAAAAAGAATACTACATTGGAGTTTTTGACGGAAACAGATCATTACGTGAAGATTCGCTATGCCCGCATGTGCTGAGAATCCTATTATGTGAGTCTGGTACGACTGCCAAAAGCCACTGAACTGGACCGGACCGGTCTCTTCTCTTACAACATACAGTCGGCAACAAGCGGATGAAGAAAAAAGACTTCGTCATGCAGCCCAGACTACAGAGATTTGAGGGGACGGCTGGTGGCGTGGTGGGCACATCACCTCAGTCTGTCTTTGGCCGTGCCGCATTCTTGGGAAGCCTACGAGTAGGTACATTACACATTGCCGGGCTACGCGGATCAAGGGAAGGGAAGGAGGAAGGACTTTGAGGAGCGAGAGCGACATGGGGTGGGAAGAGAGGGCCAGGAGGCTTGGAGCTGTCAAAGTCGGGGGACACCAACTCGCCGAGACATCCCCTGCTCCCTGGAGGTTGCTTGGAAATACAGTCATTGTAACATGACTATCTCTGCGCGCACTTACAAGTTCCAGACAGAGAAGAGAGAGAGAAAGAATGGGAATGCACGACAGAGAGGGGAGGGAAAGGGAGCAAAGACCAAGCTTCTGTGATGTGGGCCGCTCTTCATGCAATGATCTGACATGCTAAACCGACCACCCCCCGCTGACCAAGGTGGGATAAGTGGAATGCAGTAGAACGCGTCGTGTTTTGTTAATCCGGGCTGGCGGATTGGGGAAATGATTGCTGATTGTGCAAAAAGACGAAAAAAAGTCTCGGGAGGACGAGGGGGGGGGGCAGAGACATCTCTCAAAGCTCAGAGACAGCTCATCGGCACAGCCTTTGATTTGCGAGACCTCTCAAAGGGTGTGGGGTGATGGTTTCGATTGGAGTAAGCCGGCACGGTTTTTGCCTTGATTTGCGCAACGTTTGCGTGCGTGGAATGACAACGAACGAACAGAAACGCAAACGTTGTTGCTATCGAGTCTCTCTGCCCTGTTTGATTACTTGGACTCGTTGCCACGACGAGAGTGCGCGGGTGGAATGGAGGGGGAGGGGGCACCGAGGGTCGATTTCCTGGGAGGCGGGGGAGAGAGAGAGACAGACATCTGCTTTCGACGAGACGCACGTGGGGTAGAGACTGGGTATCACGACCGGGGTGTCACGGTGCGTTGATTTCCTGGTCTATGCCGAGGCTGAGCGGGTTCGATAGTTTCACAGACTAGTTTTCTCCCCCTTCTCTTTGATTCCTTGGTGATTCTTCTCAATTCTCACAATGTGCCATAAAGGTGGTGTTGTTGTAGGTGGTAATTATGACGTGCAAACTTGGCGTGGGTAGAGAAGGGTTGTATCAGAGTCTAGTCTACCTTAGAGTTTCTCTATGAAAGAAGGGGGGGGGGGGGGGGGGGGACTCGGGAGAAGGGGGAGGTTGCTAGCACCTGGAGTTTAATCGCAGTCGCGCAAGAGACTCGGACTTGGTTCGCGAAATTCCCAAGGAGAGAGGGTCCTGCTGCTGAAGAGTGCCAGAAGACAATTGAGAGAGTTTCGGAGACGACTCTGGCACTTATGCGGACGTCATATCTGGTTCGCCTGTCTGCGAGTCAAGCTCTTATCTTGCGTGACCAACTTGGGGTTTACCTTGCTTCCTATCTAGTCTGGCAATTTTGGCTAGATTGTTTGGGATGCGCGCCCAATCTGCCCTTTTGCGCACACACGTATTTCACTGGCATGTTTTGTTTGTCGGCTTCTGCTCAATCTCCGACACGCTGGTCACCTGTCACCGATGTCAGGTAAATGAAGAAAGCGAAAAGGTTTAGGTGGGACGAGAAGGAAGATCGACGGGGCTTTGCATCTGGCATGTGACCGCCCTTGGCAGGCCTGCCGAGCCCTCCAACCCTGCTTCGCAATTACCGCTTCTGGAAAGTCCTTGGGCTTCAGATTTGATACAACCCGCGACTGAGTCGAGTTGAGAGGGTTAGCACCCGAGGCCACCATAGGCGAGAAAGAGATGAGCGAGAAGCTCTACGGATTGTCCGTGGATGATACAATCTGAGCCTCTGTTGACGTCACAAACGATGATGAGACGAGTTGTGTGCCTGCCTGCCTGCCTGCCTGCCTGCTTGTCCAAACATATGCTGGTACTCGTTGGCATGTGGCATCTTATCTGGGACTTGACGACTGCACCTATCAAGGTGCCCCTTGAACGGCGCACAGAGATGCTGAAAGGAAGCATACAGTTTGCAACTCGAGAATGGGGGGTTTTCGCAGTGTACCTGACCAACCGCGGTGGCAAGACCAGCGTGGCAGGCAAACTCGAGCGGCGAGCGGGCCGGGCCCGGCCCTCCGACACGCGCCAAGATTGGACGGGACGAAAGATGTGCAATGCCGGCCGCTTGTCGTCCCAAGTCTACCGTGCCTCCTTGTCTGATGATTTATCGAAATAGTAGCAAGCGTTTACAGCGAGGTGCACGATAGTCCGTCCGTACGGTTATAGCCGACCAGAGAACCTAAGATGAAGCGCGATGACCAGGCAAAAAGGCGCTATAACCACTGGAAGGCCCCCCGGGACAGCAGCCGATTCGTGAGGTTTCACGCCAAGCTGACTTATTGTTCGAGCGACAATGGCAATTGGGGGTCCCCAGACACTGAGACTCGAGAAAGCCAGGGCGTGGGGGGGCCTTTTTCTTGGGGTGGGATGTATTGCTGATCCACAAGGTTTTGAAGCAATCTATCTTCTTGGCGGTTTGGATGCGCTGGCCTCTGCGAAACGGTCCTTGCGGCGCAACAAAGGGGGGTGGACTTGATGACTACCTAGGGAGGGAGCATTGGGGGAGATCTTTGTTTCTATGTAAAGATCCTCCCGTCTTGGAGAGGAGATAGCGTAGCATTCGGACACGGCGTGAGGCTCGTTCCCTCGTTTCGGGGGCCATTCTTAGACCTGAGGCAACGGAATTGTGGATTCGGGGGGTCGGGGGGCCGTCGGGGGGGTTTCTGGTGTTTTTGGAGACGGGGGAAGGGGAAGACATGGCCCGTGGCCAGTTCTATGGATAAAATAGGCCGCTCCGGAAATAATCACGGCCCCACTCGGGGCCATGCCGGGGTCGGGGCCCGGGCCAGAGCCATCGGTGAACTCGCTTGGAGCATGCATAAGCCGTCTCTCTAGACCACATGTGTCTGGGACGGCGAGTTCAGTCTGGCTACGTTCGCCTTGAACTGATCAACGCTGCCAGGGCCGGAAAGATGATGCAGGGATACTTTTAGGCAGAGTATGGGTAGCAAAGATTACTCGTAGCTAGCCTACCGCGGCGCCTACTATCAAGACTCAAGGTAGTAAATCCAAGAGGCGTTCTGCTTTCCTAAAGAGCAGACTGGGATCTACTGAAAGTGATGTACCAATTTTACCGTCTGGGTTACCAATGTACAGAGAAGGGTTTGGATTGTCAAATTCTTGTGTGTTGTGCCCCATCGAGGTACTTTATGGCAACAACAGTTGTATGTGCGACCTCAGCGTGGTCAACAGTCTTATGCTTCTCCTTAGTATATCATACCTTTCCTTGGTGAACTGCAGGCAGCAGGAGACCAGCAACACACCGCCGCTCGGCTTCTCGAAAACGAGGGTGCTCTCAGGAGAATGTTTCGTGTCGCTAGTAGGGGACTTGGCCCTAACTATACTACACCCAGACCAATCGACACGGCGAATGGGTTATACAGTCAGTCTTCAATCGTCATCCTCATGTGCTTGATACGGTGCGAATAAACCTCGGCAACGAGCGGTTCTCAGAGAGGCGAAGGGCAAGGTGTCTGTCCTTGATGGTATAGAATCAGTAGCGGAAGTCTCCCGAATCCCCTGGCGAGTGAGTTTCTCCGATGGGGAAGAACCAGCGTTCTTCCACCAGGCGACATTCCTCCGGCCGCAGACGTGGCTGCCTTCCGTGTGGCGTCAATAGATTCCCGGATCAAAGTTTAAGAGAATGAATACTAGGTCAAACCGTATGCGAGAGCTTGCTTAAGAACTTGGTTGTGCTTCATTATAGAGCTCATTTATCACCTCGTTCGGATTGATAAATTCAACATAGGTTCTAGAGCTTCGTCATCTGGATTCCCGTCACGATGAGGGCCATTACCATAGCCCGTAAGGCGCGACTTCCGTTTGTCAAGCAGCTGTAGGTAAGCCTTGGGGGCTGCAATGTTGTCAGATGAGATTTGAATCCTGCATGTAAACGATTCCAATGGGATAGAAACATCCGTCTACTAACTCAACGACACAAAGATCGCAAAGCAAACTGGAGAATAAGATTACCTCATCTCATGACGTTCTACCTTTGCAGTATTGGTATCCCAACAGCATGGTGCAGTCAACCATCTTATTGTCAAAAAACCAGCGTCGAGGTCTTTTTCACAAACTTGAGCTTAGTGAATGACAGTCATGGATATCAATAAGATACACATGTTTCCCCCATTTTCGTGTTTAGATCCTTCGACAGCTATTGTTATGGCCATGGGGAGGTTATTTGCAAGCATTTGCTGAGTGGAAGTATCCTCAACAGAATTTCGAATTCTCGGTAGCCAAAGCACTCGTCTCCAGTACTCAAAATTAGCAAGAGATGGAAAGAGGGCTCTGCAGACTATTGAGATGTGGTGAGAAAACGAACGTCGTCACGTGGAGGACCCAATTTTACACCGGTCTAGATAGGAAGCTCACCATGGTGCCTGCCTGCCTCAAGAGTATATACCCCAGTCCCTTTCCTATTCTTTTTTGTGTCCTACCTCAATCTCAATATTCGAAGCCGTAGTCATTATAGGCAACATATTCCCTTTCCATTCTAATAACAAATATCGGGCCTGGTGACCGAGTGGTGAAAGCCGTGAAATGCTGACTAGTGCGTGATGCTCCGTACTCTTCAGGACTCCTGCGTTCAATTCTCGGTCGGCTCCCGTTGTTTTTTGCCTTTTTCTTTGATTGCTGCCTGAAATAAGTCTTGCATTTCGTTGGTGTACTTTAGGCCGTGGATACGTGTGCTCAGCCGCATCTCCATACTCGAAGGCAGAACCTCCGCCGAATCGAGGTTTCGAGGACCGTTTGCTATGACTTATCACGCAAGCTCCAGCAAGCACAAACCCTGGACTTTCCCCAGGGACTAGAAGCAAGATGGCTTCAAAGTATTGTTGTCGCACTGCATTCTATTGAAGGAAGTTGGCGCCTAATCATGTAGGCGTCGATGGACGAGTTTTATTCTTGCTGACAACTCTGAAGAGCAAATTGATACAACTCGCGCCTTGCAGCGTGATACCGATGCAACCGAATGACTAAAAACAATCCCAGCCGTCATAATCTTGAAGACAGGGTTCCCAAAATGCCACTGAGCAATCAAACAACCACCCGAACGATGCTGAGCTCGTGATCCTGACCGTAACTAGCGGCAAGCCTTCTCCAGTCAATCGAAATGAGCTGCCACGGCCCCTTCCGCTGTCCCTTACAGCACGCCACGCCTTCGTGGAATTCACACCAGAAGTCGCGATGAATAGGGTCAACGTAGAGATCAGCCGTCTCCAAGTCCGGATCAGCCAGCAGCCGCAACAGAGCCTGAAACGGCCTGGAGTGGGCAAAAGCGTCGTCACGTCGCGTAATAGCGGCCCTCCGCGACTGCGCGTCGGCGGCACTCTGATTGAAGACAATCTTGTCGGCGCTCGTAGGATACAGTACGAGCCTGAGGTGCCGCAGGGAGCCGTTCAGGATCATATCGGCCACGGCCGGGGAGACGTGGGTCTGGAAGACGTTGCCCAGGCGACCCGGCGAGAGCTCGAGGTGCTTCACACGGCGGCGGGCCTGGGGATTACCAAGAAGCCAGGGGCTGCCGCCGTCGCAGATGGCGCGCTCGACGGCGGCGCGGGGCCCCGTTTGGAGGTTGAGGATGAAGCGGTTCTGTTCGTAGAAGAGGGCAGAGCCGGCGGCGTAGAGGAGCGGGTGGGCGAGAAGCAGGTCGTGCGGGAAGGGGATCTCGGAGGATTCTGTGGGACCTATCTGGATTGGATTTGGGAGTACGCAGAGGTAGGATATGATTTGGTCCCGGATCTCGACGGGAAGGTCAAAGAACTGGTCGAAGGTGCGGGAGGCCATCTTGGCGGGTTCCCGACATGGTCGGTGACAAGGTAAGATCAACAGGAGATGCCTTGTAGCCTCATGAAAGACTTCTAGAAGAAAAGCCTTCTATCAGATTAGATCGGCAAGACACTAGGTATTCCTGATGCTGATGTCGTATGGATGAGGAATGAGGGTAGTAGTGACACTGGGACTGGCAGAAGATGGGGTTATTGATTACGTGATTGGCTGCGAGGTCAGTCGGCCCCACTGTGGCGATCGAACTCCATGCCATCGTGCCTCTGCCCTGGTCAGTTCTATTTCGACTTCACACCATCCTATGTGGCATGTCGTTGATGGAGCTCAGAGGCATCGAGAGTCTACGGGAGGCAATGATAATAGATATAATCTCCTCATTTGCTGGCTTCTTAAGGTGGAAGAGCACTATATTCCGGATGAGCGGGGAATACTTGAGCAACACATTGTGGTATAAGACGGCGTCGATGCAACAAACATTTGGGACGAGGTGTAAGAAACATTTACTTGGAACATACCTAGCGCCTTCTTCTGTTGACAATCGATCCAAGCAGATATCGCATTGTTAGATCTATCTGTGCTGTCTATTTTCGCCATTTTAAGGTACAACCACACCGAGCTCCCTTTCGCACCTTCCGTTTGTGAAAGAAGTGAAAAAAAAAGAAAAGAGAAGTTTGGTTGACCACATGATGAATCAAAACACCGCCGCCTGAAAGCCTCGGGAGCATCACCGAGGCAGTCACCCGATCAAGCATCTCGACTCGTGGTCGGTGACAGAGGAAGCATTGTTGGTCCCTATGAACCTTCCTCTGTCGCCTAAGGCATGGAGTGGTGTTACTGGGAATTGTATAGGTAGCATCAAGCACATTATCCCTGATCTAGGCCAACAGCGATTTCCCGAGGGATTCGAACTCTCGACTTACGATTCCCAGGAAACAGCCCTTAAATTTGGAATGGCTCAGCTATTTTCCACGTCCGTTTTCATTCCCGACCTGCCAGCCTGTAAGTTCCCGTGAACAGCCTCGTTGGATATCGTACGTGGGAACTTCTAAGGCGAGATGAATCACGACGAGTTCACTACTGCAGAGGAGGCTATGAAGGAAAGCTGGATATTCGCCAAGACTGTCAGGTTTCGCTGCAAGTGCGAGCATCTTCAATCGCGTGAGAGGCCCCGTTTATGGCACGATGTTATTCGGAGCTCAAATCAAAAGCTCCGCGTCCGCGTCGCCGCCAGAATCATCTGGGCCTAAAATTTCAAGCTCTTCATCATTGTAGACTAGACGAGCAGTTCGCTGCCCACGTCGACAAGTTGTCTACCTACACACCACCACTTCCCTCCATTAGCCTTAACCAATCGATAAGCAAGTCCTGCATCCGCTACAAATGCCCGAACGCGATTTCTGATCCGCCACATTTGGGCATCTTTGAATCTTGTCTGCGCGTGTATGGCTTGACTTACGGGACGCTCGAAAACCGGCATGTCCATCCCAGAGAAGGGAGATGTCCTGCCCAGCCCACATTCATTCTTGGTCGTACTTGAAGGTATTTGTGGCGGATTTGGTGATAAAGAGTATCCGTCTAGGCGTGTAATATGATTCGTCGCCCGGGGTCAGCGAGTTCGCAAGGCAAAATTTGAATTGATCATAGTTCTGGGATATATCCTTTGATGGAAAGGTCGACGGAAAGGCACTGGGGCTGCTCTGTATGGACCTTGCATCGCGGCTTCTCACCAGAAACGAATGAACTCACAGCGCATCTCCTCTGAAGGGAGCGTAGTCCAGGCAAACCTAACACCCACAAGCGGGAGACGATATCAAAACGAACAGGTCAAACAACATGATTTACCTGGGCAATTCGATGCACCAGGCAATCGTCTCTGATGAAAGTCCGTAGCTAAAACATTCAACCTCAATATGAAGCTTCCCGGACCCCTTATTACCAGCTTGTCCGTCATCAGGCCCAATCGCCAGAGCGCTTTCCTCAATCGTCAAGTATAGAGAACCGATCCCGCGTTAGACGAGACCACACTGAAGCCTTTAACTTTCTATAACGTGCACAACGGACTACACTGGCCGCTGCTTTGCTTCACAGACGCCTATCGACATGCTTCGACCTAATCAACACATGCTAATATAAAGAGTGGCCGTACAAGAACCACCACTGAAAGAAGGACAAGAAAACATACCGGTTCATCGCCGATATACATGTATCACCGCGTGCTACTACCTTGATATCCCTCCGTCATCCACTACCGTATTCAAGGGCCATTCTTTGACACTACCTTACCTTAGAAGGCATCTCGGACGAGTGTCCTCATCTTGCTGAATGTTCACTAATGAATAAACCATCAGCGATGTTGGAAGTTGGTAATAACGTCAATGAGAACGCCAATGAGGAAACCATTGGGAACACCATTGAGGACACTAGTGATGACGAGGATACTGAAGGGAATGGCGATGAGAATGTCTCGACTAGTAAATCTCAGACGCAGATTGGTTGGCAACAATCATGTCACGTCGCAACACGTCGTTGCATCATTCATGGTGTCGGACCAAATTGAAGTAAGACGTAATTTCATTTCATGTCGCCCTGATCCTTTCTACAGTTCTATGAAAGCCGTAGAAGACGGCACCTGGTAGGCATTCATACTCGCCCGAGAGTCATGCCAGTGTCGTGTCGTGTGTGTGTGAAGGGGTTGTGGAGGTATATGGGGAGGAAGGCGGCGGGAAGAAAGGAGGAACTTTTAAGTGCCTTTTGATATCACCTGACCCAAATTATTCGCATCCTGCCTGGCCGTAATCTGCTCGGCCACCCAAACGCAAGAAAGTTGAACCAGATACACCGCATTGAAGCGGCCTCATCAAAGCCGTAAACATCCTCCGCGCGAACAAAACACTAGAGATCTTTCTCACATGTTTTGAAGTATTTATCGGGAGGACATAGCCTTGGTCACGAGACGCTTGAGAGCGAGCTCCTGCTTCTTGAGCTCGTCGGCACCGCTGTCGGTGATCTCGAGGGCAGCCATGGCCTCGGAGACCTGCTGCTCGATCTTGTCCTTCTGGCCACGCTTGAGCTTGAGGGACAGCGTAGGGTCGGAGATGATCTCCTCAACACGGCCAATGTAGGACTCAAGCTGCTGCTTGGCCTCGAAGCGCTTGCTGAAAGCCTCATCGTTGGTCTTGAACTTCTCGGCGTCTAGGGAGGAATTAATATGTGCATCATGCAGTGGTTGTCGACAAGAACGTACCGTTGATCATGTTCTCAATCTCGGAGGAAGAGAGCTTGCCAACAGAGTTGGAGATGGTGATGTTGGCGCTGCGGCCGGAGGTCTTCTCGGTGGCGGTGACCTTGAGAATACCGTTGACATCGACCTCGAAGACGACCTCGAGGACGGCCTCACCAGCTCTCATGGGAGGAATGGGAGCAAGAGTGAATTCACCCAGGGAGGTGTTGTCCTCGCAGTTGACACGCTCACCCTGGTAGACGGGGAACTGAACGGTCTGCTGGTTGTCGGCAACAGTGGTGAAGGTTCTGTAATGGGGATGTTAGCTTTTTAGTCTTGACAGCGGGTCAATAGAACGCGGAAAGAAGAGTGCTCTCCTCCTGCCATGCAATTGACGCATGAGGGAAGGCACTGCCACGGATGAGGAAGGTATCATCGCCAGCAGAGTGCCCATCACCACGATAGTCGCGAATGGGCGAAAACACCAAGAAAAAATCGAGAAAGTTGAGCAAGTCAGGAAACGGGATGAGAAAACAAGGGGGACATATCTTTTTCAAGCAAGGAACATTTTGCCCACGAGTGACGACGGGAGCGAAGATGTTACCCTCCATGGCGACACCGAGGGACAGGGGGCAGACGTCGAGCAGGAGAAGGTCGGCGGTCTCGGCGGAGGTGGCCTTTCCGGAGAGGATACCGGCCTGGACGGCGGCACCGTAGGCGACGGCCTCATCGGGGTTGATGCTCTTCTCGAGCTTCTTGCCGTCGAAGAACTCGGACAGAAGCTTCTGAATGCGGGGGATACGGGTGGAGCCACCAACGAGGACGATCTCGTCAACGCCGGACTTCTCCATGGAGGCATCCTTGAGAACCTGGGCAACGGGCTCGAGGGTACCGTTGAAAGCCTTGGCGTTCAGGTCCTCGAAACGAGCACGGGTGATCTGGGTGGTGTAGTCCTCGCCATCGAAGAGAGAGTCGATCTCAATGGTGGTCTGGGCACCGCTGGAAAGGGTACGCTTGGCACGCTCGCAAGCAGTGCGGAGACGACGGAGGGCACGGGGGTCGCCAGAGAGATCCTTCTTGGTCTTGCGCTGGAAGTCCTTCTTGCAGTGGTCAAGAAGGTTGGTGTCGAAGTCCTGACCACCCAAGTGGGTATCACCAGCGGTGGCCTTGACGGTGAAGACACCGCCCTGGATGTTAAGGAGGGAGACATCGAAAGTACCACCACCCAAGTCGTAGATGAGGACGTTGCGCTCCTTGCCAGACTTGCCGGCACCAAGACCGTAGGCAATGGCGGCAGCGGTGGGCTCGTTGATGATACGGAGAACGTTAAGACCGGCGATGGCACCGGCGTCCTTGGTGGCCTGACGCTGGTTGTCGTTGAAGTAGGCAGGGACGGTGATGACGGCCTTCTCGACCTTCTTGCCAAGCTTGACCTCGGCAATCTCCTTCATCTGTTGAGGGGGTTAGCAAACTGCGTATTTTCAGAAGTTGTGCGACGCCGGCTTTTCATTTCCGGTCTCATCACCAGAGAGCAAAACGCACCTTGAGGAGAACCATGGAGGAAACCTCCTGGGGGGAGAAGGTCTTGGTCTCGTTGAGGTACTCGACCTGGACCTTGGGGTTGCCACCCTCGTCGACGACCTTGAAGGGCCAGGACTCGATGTCCTTCTTGACGGTGGGGTCATCGAAGCGGCGACCGATGAGACGCCTGTGAGAGAATGCTGGTCAGCGATTTGTAGTTGTCTAATTTTTTTTTCTGCTCTCTGCCATTGCTCCGGATTACCCCTCCTTGGGCGGGGAAAATTCTCACCCACCCCGGCCAAAGTAGGAATCTAGAGCAACAGCAGACGGAGAAAACGGCGAGGCTACTCACTTGACATCGAAGACGGTGTTGACGGGGTTCATGGCAGCCTGGTTCTTGGCGGCCTCACCGATCAGACGCTCCTTGTCGGTGAAGGAAACGAAAGAGGGCGTGGTGAACGAACCCTGCTCGTTGGCAATGATTTCGACATTGGTACCCTCGTACGTGGCAACGCAAGAGTAGGTAGTTCCTGTGATGAGAGGACTCGGTCAGCCTGACACGTTCTTTCGATGGTTGTAAAACTCCTCCTCGAGTCTCTCCTTCCGTGATAGTTGATTGATGTTTGACGATATTTTGCAGCGTTGGCGGAAGTGACATTGTTCGTGATGCCTGAAGTGACCGAACCCCTCAAAGTTGAGCGGCGACCGACATCGCCACAAAATAACGCCCCTCTCAAAAAAGCATCGTCCATCAGCAACAGGAAAATAAAACTCACCCAAGTCAATGCCAATGGCACCATCGTAGACCTCGTCCGCCATTTTGAGAGATTTGATATGCACAAAGACAAAAAAAGGCCTGTGTGAATGGGGGAGGGGGAGGATTGAAGGTTGGGAGGTTTGCGCGGAGGAGAAAGATATGTGAAGGAGGGCGGGCGGGCGACGTGGGGTCCTTTCAAGAAGAATTTCTCTCGCTCCAGTCGCTCAACACAGGATTTTTGTGAAGGCCGAAAAAAAAAAATCAATTTCGACTTTTTTTCTGGGTCCCCCTAGCCCCACCAACCACCCACGACCACCCTCGACTACCCCCTCCAGCGCTGAGACCATGCTACTAGCGCGCGGGCCATGCCACAAAAATTCGAGAGATTCGAGGGCGGCGAAGGAATTTTTTGCCATTTCATCCCGCTGTGGCCCTTGCTGGTGGGCTGTCTCTTATCTTATCGCACCCCGGCCCGCCATTTTCTCGCTTACTGCCACTCTCTTCTGTCACTGTGAGTTGAGCAAGGTAGGTACCTAGCCGAAGTTGAGTTAACTGCTGGTTGCAACCACCTGCTCTGCACCCGACTCGGGAGACTGTTTGAGAGCCTCTTGATGGTGTCTGGCTGTAATTTGGTACTTTGCAAAAGCAACAAAAGCTGTTGACATTGTCTTCTTTGGCTTCAAGTAATAGTTTGCTAACCCGGACAAAGAATTCCGTCATTGATACTGAAATACTTACCCATCCTAACTTTCAACAACCTGCAACTTCCCCCCTCGTCTCTCTCGTCCACATGCCTTGTTGGGCTTACCTTACTACTCCTCGTCCTCCCTCGTGCAGGTACCGGCGCTTAGCAGCTTTTGAAAGTACTTGGTCCATCATCCATGACATTGCTTTTCTCACCGCCTGACTCGACTTGGACAAGCAACCCAGATGCCTACCAGTGGACTCCCGGCTTTCTGTGGCAATCCCACGGGAGACCCCTTCCTTCCAGCGGCAAATCAGTCTCAAGTTGCCGTGGTCGTGGTTACCTACTCAACTGTTCTCAGTCTCCGCGACTGCTCGGTCAAAGAGGAACCTTCATGCAGATATGTCGGGCTCCCCGAAGTCGGTCGGTCAGTTGCCCAGCCAGAAAAAAGCGTATTCCTTTTTTTTTTTTGGCCGTGATACCGTCCCCAACTCAGGTCCCCCTGCACGTATATTTCGTTGCCCCTCAGAGAGTTCCTGGAGGGGTCCTTCCCAACTTGCCAATGCCTGCCAAACGATTGGCTCTCGCTTGCCCATTCAGACGAACGGCCGACGTCTTTCACGCAGAGAAACAACCCGACAATATCCCGAACATGTCGGCCGAGATAGAATCTAAGCATCTCTCTTGCGCAAATCACTCTAACCGCGGCAATCTGTCCTTGTCGGACAATTTTTCGACGCCTTTGGAGTCCCAAAGACGGGTGGAGCCGCCGCCGCTTGCAACTGTTAGTCGCCCCGGAAACCGCAACTCGCGAGCCCACAGAAACCCTCATGCACGAACCCTCGTTCCCCACACACAATAGCCATCTTTACCCCTCAGGATATAATTACCCTCTCGCGACCAGACTTCCAACCAGCTCGTCCGGCTTCAATTTCCGGATATCTGATCATCTGCGTCGATGGTTTAGTGGTAAAATTCTCCGTTGCCATAAAGCAGCGTCGGGGAGCCGGGGGTTCGATTCCCCCTCGACGCATCTCTTTTGCCAAATTTACCTCATAGCCAGTCTGGACGTCTATTTTTTGTTTCTTGGATGAAGTGCTGGCTGAGTGAGGCGACTAGAGTGTCCCTGAGACCATCTTTAATCTTTCTTGTTCATGGTCATTAAGAGAGCTGGTCATTACAAGTTTGCAGTGATCCTCTTCATCAAACCTCCTCAGTGTTGCCCTAAATCAACAACACCAGCTCACATGTCTGTCTGGCCCCTTGAGTGATATTTGGAAAGGAGTTTCACATTGTGTTGCTCGCTCAGCTGTCAACTCAAACAGAGGTCCGCCTGATCCTCATGTACAAGCCACGCCATCAACGCCGAAAATTCACCACTCCAGGCCCAGTTAAAGCTACCTGGTAAAACCAAATTCCTAAACACCCTCATAGGTCCCAGCACGACCGGACGACGGATCGTATGCAGAGTCCGCCCCACCCTCATGGTTTCGCCTGTTGTACTCATCCCGCAGTTGATAGACGTATCTCAAGAGTTGAATGAGCAAAATGTACATCAGAAGCTGCCAGAACAATGGACGGATGATCGCAGAGAAGTATGTCGGTCTAGGTCGCCTCATCTCACATGCGTGGTCGACAAGCGAGCGCGGCGATGAATCAACCTCATCCGTGTGGCGCCAGAGGGTATAGTAGGCCGTCCGAGACTCCAACAACCTTCTCCTCTGGCTACCAATGGGCTCTTCTCCATTGGCACCCTCGACGAGCGAGACTCTCTGAACGACGGGGACAAAGGAAATCAGCACTCTCGACAACGGTGGCTCTATCGGCGGCTCTCTGAATCGACTTGTCGAAACGATAAACCCAGTAGACGTCGGGCTCAATAAGGCGTTGGATGGTCTTGGCAGCACTCCTGGATCGGGGATCTCAAAGTCACCCGGCACATAGAGTTCGTCGGGCTCGCGCCATTCAAAGTGAAGAACCTCGGGAGACAGACGAATGTTGACGGAAAGCCAAGCCGCGTAAGCCACGTCGTGGTGAATCATCTGGAAAATTGACCGGATAGAAGGGTTCGGGCCGTTCTCAGGCCAGGTCATTCTCACCCAGGTCAGGATTGGCCTTATGAGCAAGAAGGTCTTCATAGTATAATAGTCGACTTGCTTCCAAAACAGAGGTGGCAGGCCATGATTCTCTTCTAGTAGCATATTCACCGTTTTTGCTCTCAACTCCGATCGTCTGAAACCTAGTAGACAGTTAGTTGCTGTGTCTTGTTCGGGGTTGCGTGGATGAGGGTGGAGGGGAGGGGGGGAACCAACCTTCGTGCTTCATGAACTGCTTGTCCTGATGGAGCAGTGAAAGTCGCTGCTGGTTGTCTGCGCCAAATAGCTGAAGTGAAAATATCTGCTCCTCGAAAAGCTTCAAGAAGAAGGCCCTCATGACTACTATCCGTTTGTAGTCGCAGGCAATCAGATCATCCCAAGGGCTCTTGTCTCGCGGATCTGGCCGGGCAACTTTCTCGATAGTACGTTCCAATTCCGAACTCTGGTCGCCAGTTACCACGGACCATACGGGTCCTGGAGGCGGAACATCGCCAACTTCGAAAATCTGCTTGGCGTGGAGATTGATATTTGATATGATGGCGGCATAGTGATGCGTAAAGAAGTCGTCTGTGAGCGAAGAACGTGGAAGGCCCCATTGCAGGACGAGTCGTTCGGGGCAAAATCCTTTCAATTCTTTGAGGTCTTTGGACGCAAATGCTCTGGTTGCTGATGGATTTGCTTTCATGTTCTTCCTGTTCTGTTGCGCCGTCGGACTGCAAGCCTCGCTACAATTCGGGCCATGTGAACCTGGGTACGTTGGTGTCATCTGGAGTGCTTTGAGGATCGATTCAAACGTAGTGTAATGCTCGAGAGGTTTGACGGGTGTTTATGGATCGGTCGAAGAAATTCTAGATGGTCGAAAACCGTCAATTTATGATAGCTTGCTCAAGAAACGATGTTGCCCTTGATCATCAGCTATCTGTACATCGCGACCGCATCTCACGCAGCGCCGCCTCGGTTTTATGAGTATCACGCTGCTTGCTCAACTGCGTTGTCATACGAGCATGCTCTGCAATCTAAACGGGCCGCTGTGCTCCATACTCCCGGTCGCTGTCCTTTTGAGAGTCCAAGGGATGACGCGGGACAAAGAACACTCGACCATTATCATCGATGTCATTGTTGTTTGTCTCCAACAGGTTGACACCTGGTGTCGTGGGCCTATTATAGAACTTCCCAAGGAGATACAGGCGATGCATACAGCCGCCTAGCAGCTACGTAGCTGAACAAAGATAACGTATCCGTCTTCCACCCTGCGTTCCCCTCCTACCTCTTGGCCGACGGTGTAATGGGAAAGTATGAGAGTAAGTAGAGCAAGTGTCCTGTTTCTTTCATTCAAGTCCAGGAGCACAATGCAGCTCTCCTAAAATGACCGTCCCTCTATTCATTGAGACGACGTCAATAGAGCCTCGACGCATGTGGGGCAGAGTGTCCAATGACTGAAACAAGCGACCGACCTGGCCGAAACGAACCCTAGAGCCATCACCGCTTCAAGCCGAGCTCGACTCGCCTGAGTTTTCGATTGCAGAAGAGGGTGGTAGGGGATGACGGGAAAGATTGCCTAGCTTGCGTGTTGCTTGACTCAAGATGAAGGAATTTTGCTCAGGCCACCTAATTCGCAGGTCACCTGAGCTGAGGGGGATGGGAGCTTCATAAGAAATGATAACATTTCAAGTCATTGAATGTGATTGGCAACGGAAGGATTTAGGGAAAGCTTCTGGAAAGGTCCCCCGCAGGTTGAAGCCAAAAATATGATGGCAGTGCTTCGAGGCCAGATAAAAGCGTGATGTCGAAACAAGGATGTGTCTTTTGGCGTAGGAAGGGGCAAGGAGAAGGGGTCAGGAGGCGGCGCTCGGTTCAGGCCGAGTATGGAGAGGACCGTCACGACTGCGAAAGGCTGCAAACAGCTGGTAGATGGGTGAGATATAGAAACAGGAAATAAAAGGAACAATCCGGATGACAGGTGCAGAAAAGTAGCAAGCACAACCCCAGGAGTCGGAAGCTTCGTCTGAGCTGTTGGACGTGGTCGAATCTGAAGGCAGGAAAGAAAAGTTATCTGACTTATCAGCCTTGAGCAATGACAGGCAACGTAAGCTAAAAGTCAACATGAACAGTTCAATACTTCTATTAGACCGCTAGTCTTGAAAAGACAGGAGGGAGGGAAGGCAACTCAACACTGGCGAAACGGACTGCATGGCGTTGAAGACAGACATTCAACAAGCCTCACAACACGACACGGAGTTACAAGGTGTGTAGGCTGACAAGTGCTACTATTGGAGCAATT